TTAAATCGAACCCGATCCAAGTCGTGGTCGAAGCCCGTGTTAAAGCCAGGTCCGTTGCATTTTCTCATTCGGTTAAATCGAACTTGATCCAAGTCGAGGTCGAAGCATGTGTTAAAGCCAGGTTCGTTGCATCTTATCTTCGGTTAAATCGAATCCGATCCAAGATCGAGGTTGAAGCCTGTGTCAAGTACAGGTCTTGGTGTCTTGCTCCATCTGTATCATGTCTTCTTTTAATAAAATTTTTGTCTTCCTAATACTTTGTTTTTTTTGCTTTGTCTACCCTTTCAGTTCTGCAAGGATACACAAATGGGAGCAAGCTGTAGACACCATATTTTGCCTGGTTAAATTTTAATTATTTTTTATTTTTTATTTTTATTTAAATATTTTCGTTAAAAAAAACTATAAGATTACTTTATTATTGGTTATAAGCTAAAGTTTAAATTAAATTAAAAAAATTGATTTTGTTTCAAAGATTTTTATTTTATTAATAAAATTATAAATTAAAAAATAAAGATTTTATTTTAGTAAAATGTTTTTAACTGTTTTTTCCATTTGATTTTTTCCTGGTCAAGATTCTACAGGTGGTACCATTCTCTATTCTTTCCCTCCCTTATTTTCTCTGGTTTTACTTGATTCATGGGGTTACCATTGGGTTTTTTAGTATTTAAGGGAAGGTTTTAACACAAAGAAGACAGCAGAGTAAGGAAGATGAAATTTGAGGCTAAACACTCTCCTTCCTTTAGTAAAAAAATCATTTTCCCTTCTTTCTCTCTAAAACCCATCATTTTCATCCCTCTCCTACCTTTTTCTCTTTTTAACAAAGTCTCCTTCGTCCATCTCCTTCTCCTCCTCCTTCTCACTCCCATTTTTCTTCACCCATGAACGGGTGGCAGCACAACATTCGCGGCAGTGACAGCCTCCGACGATCCATCCAGGTGCATCCACGACCAACAATCCGGCGGCCTCCACCATCTGTAAGTAAAGGTGAGTTTTTAAGTTTCTAAAGAAAAGAAACTTTCATTCCATAGCAAAAAGAAATCCTTTGAAAGGGAAAGAGTTTGTTTTAAGTTTTAAGCATCTTTTTTAAAATGCAAAGTACTTTAAATAAAGGATAAAACAATTAAATTAAGTTAAATAAGTTTTTGAAAAGAAAATAAAGATTTTGAGATTTTAAAATTTTAAAATTTGTTTTAAAATAAAAAGATTTTAAAGATTTTTTAAAATTTGTTTTAAAAAGATTTATTTGTTTTGATGACTTTGTAGTACACTTTTACATACTTTTAAAATAAATATTCGGAGTTTTGAAGGCTTTTTGAAGAAAAGATTTGCATTTGTAAAAAAGAAATTTTTTAAAGAAAAGATTTGTTTCATATTTTAAAAAATGTTTTTTAAAAATTAAAAGTTTTGTTTTCTTTAAATAAGTCTCTTTTAAAAGTGAATAAAAGATTTCGTTTAAAGTATTGCATCTTAGTGTGTTCATAGTGGTAAGATGCATGGGGATAAATTTTCATGACTCAAGTTAAAGTCTTTGCTTGCCTAAAATAAATTTATTTTATTTCATTGTTTTTACTAAATAATTATTTTAAATAAAAGATTTTTTTCTTTTTAAATAAAAAAATTTCGTTTTTTTTAAATAAAATTCAAAACTACGAAGTTTGTATTTTAAAAAAGAAACATAGGTTGTATTATAAGGTGTTGGTACATTGGCAAAGTAGTTGGATGTTAATATACTTGGCTCAAGTTGAGTCTTGTGTGCCTCAAATTAAATTAAATTTTATTTATTATTTTTTAATTAATTATTATTTCAAAAACTCCAATGACGGAATTGGAACTCTCCAATATTCTTGAGGTGATAAAATTTTTCTAATGGCCTTTATGCCTCTTATACCTATTTATTCATAACAAAGTGTGAATTAATATAACGTGATAAAATGTGGTACCATTTTTAAAGGGGTGTCGTAGGGTGCTAACACCTTCACTACGCTCAGTCGACTCCTGAACCAAAATCTATTTTCACAGACCAAGGATTTTAAATAGGTGACCAATCACACCTCGTAGATAATTGGTGGCGACTCCAAACCCTTATCTCGAAAGTGGCCCTTTAGGGGAAGTTGGGCCTCCTCATTGTTGACAAAATCTCTACGCCCTTACTAGTACTAGTAAAGGGGCTCTTCGACCAAGGGGCGCGTTGTATCGAATTAAACCACATGCTCCACCGGTGACGTCGGCCGCTCCGCGTCGCGATGATGTTGCGACAAGCACGATTGTGATTTAAGGTCTTTCGTAGGTATTCATCCTCTTTTTGTGATTACTGCATTGAAAAGAATGAGCACAGGTACCCCTTAACTCGACGTTTGTCATTCCCTCCAAGCACCAACTTGGAGGTAGTTCATTCGCTTTCCTCTTTCCTTTCGTAGGATCATGCAGGATCTCATCTTCCGACAACTCGAGAAGGAGCACTCCGACACTCTGCAAGGCTGACATCACTGCCTCCATCCGTGTTTACATATGAGCAACGTGGGCTTATACGTTAGCCATCGAAGGCTTGTTGACAAGCATAGAGGTGTTTTGCGGGAGTGTGCCCTAGTTTTGGGCTAGCTTCTTCCCCTTTGGAGGCTTGCATGCAGGGGCTTCCACATCCTTTGGATCATGAGGATTGGGGGTAGGGCTTGGGTCCCCATAATATTGTTACTTGAACCTTGACAACCGTCTGTCATAGCCAACTTGGTGAAGTGTTGACTTGTTTAGCCGTCGAATTCCAATAGAGGATGCCAAATGTTTATGTCGAATCCTGTCGGGTCTGAGATCCGTGTGAGGTGACTATCTGATCTGAGCAAAGCAAAGCGAGCTATGTAACACGACATGCACTCAAATAAGAAACACTCTGACGCTTAAGTCAATCAAATATCCAAATCCCTAAGTCATGTTTCAGATAGAATTGCGCACATGATTGAGTAGAGTGATGGTGTATTTATAGGGGTTAGATGAGAATCTTTCTGTTACAACAACCATTAGTTTGTTACTAAAGTTGTTGAACAGTTGCCAACTGTCTTTTAAGGTTGTCGGTTTCCCAACTCGGGCCAGCCAACTTAGGTACATTTGCGTTGCCTAGGGTTCCAAGTGTCGTCTAGCGAGCTGACAGATCGGTGTCATGAGGTCAATCGTGAACCTAATTTTCAATCCATGTGGCATGCTATATTTTACCACCAACTTATTTTTGCCATATTATTAGAAGATAAGTAAAAGAGTCACTTAAAACCCATTGTTATATCAAGAGAGTGCCAGAATTCTGGATATAAGATGATCTAATACATATTTAAAAATAAAATTTATAACTTCAAATTAATTAAACAAAATATGAATCTTACTCTATTCCATGAAAGAAACACTCCAACATAAACTAGTCTCATAATAAATACCAAAATGTAACAAGACTAATAATTATGTTTGCCTATAATTTCAAAGACACTCGAAACCTTTACCAAATAGAGCAACAAAATTTTCCATTTCATTTCTTTCCCTAACCACTCCAATCTCTATTCCGCCATCACCATTTGGAGTATCTGATAACGAAAAAACAGATGATGACTCAGCCGACGCTATTTCCACCTTTCTTGGCTTTCCCCACCCAAAATCTGCACTATAAACTTCAAATCTAGGCGATCCAGAAATGGAAATAATGCCTTTTGGTTGAGAATAATCACTGGTCATTGCAGCCATTGATGAGCACCAAGTCTCTGCCCCCTTCAATGCTGTTTCTCCCAAATTTCTAATAGCTTCGGAGATTGCCTCGCTCGCCACAACTATTCCATTTTCACCCAAAAGCTCACTTCTTTCCAGTAAAACAAAACCAGCAACCAAACAATTACCGAAGTAATTTAAAGGCACTGGCGGTTTCAAACGAGATCTCGCATCAGCAGCAAATGCGAACACAAACTTTCCATCACTTAAACCTTCAGACTTGGCGGTGCACACGCAAAGGTAAGCAGTTGCCAAAGCAAATGAAGATACGTGGTGATCATTCTCCTCATTGTTCTCTCGCTTTTTCAGGACCCATTGCCTTAGCTTTTGCAGGTTTTTGCGAGTGAATTCAAGAGTGCATCGGATTAAACCAGGGGGAGTTTTGGGTAGTTTAAGGTTCAGGCTCCTGTTGTTGGGTCCTTCCAAATTCTGCCATACGTTTGCATAGATCGCCGACAGACCTGCCGCATCGTCGATAACCGACCTGTCGTAGAACGGCATCGCCTCGATGGTTGGAATAGGCGAGGATCCTCCAAGATTGCAAATACGAGCCCATGTCTTTACAAACGAAGTCACGGTTCTTCCATCCATAATTGCATGATGGTTAGTTATTCCAATGGAAAACCCTCTATTTTGAAGTGAAGTCACCTGTGTTGGAGAATATAAAATAAATGATTGAAGGTTTAAACAGTACTCATTTCTGTAGTTTAAAATTTTGTCAATTTTAATTAGCTGCTTTACTTTTGAAATTTTCATTTTGATCCTTTATACTTTTAATTTAAGAAGTATTCGATTTGGTCGGATATTTTCTTTTTTATCTAGTTTTCTCTATAATTATTTTCAACCCAAATCTATACTCAATAGTTAATTTTTAGAAATAAACCGATTTTTGTTGGGTATAAAATTTATGTTAAAATTTTGCAACAAGAAAAAAATAGTCACCTTTTGATAGTAGGGATCAAAAAGACATTTTAAAATATTAAAAATTAAATTGAATAAAAGTTGAGATTACATGTAATATAATAAACCAAAACAAAAATTACATAAAATCATGATTTAATATATCCAAATCTAATTTAAACTTTTGAATTGACCAGTGATTTAACATGACGTCATAAGCAAAGCATATAAATAATTAACTTATCAGCTTAAATTTTTTAATTGAGTTAATAACCTGAATAGCAATCACTGCAGCACGATCATTAAACACAGACAACTGCGAGACAAGAGGATGATATTGAGTAACCTCACGAAAGCCATTACCGGAAAGATGGTAAAAGTCAGCATCAGACTCGGCCACCGTCAACAAAACGCCATCACCTTCGACGAACTCGACGGTTGGGCCAGTGGAACCTTTTGGCCAAACGAGGTTACCAGCGAGAGGAAGATAGTGGCGAAGAGCAAGAGCGAGAGAGCTTTTGAGATTTGGAACAATGGCGTCGAGAAAAGAGGTGTCGGTGGACGATAATTCGTAGAAGAACAGGCGTTGGATCGGATGGAACCTCAGCCATAGAATGTCGAAGAAGGTAAGAGGAAGAGACGACGAGGGCGCAGGTGAATCCTCCGCCGTCGGAGGAGCCACCCTACAGATCTCGATTATCTTCACAGATCTAAGATCACCAACCATGGCAGCTCTACTGAAACTTTTGAGAGTATGGAGAGGCAAAGGATCTCCATTTAACCTGGGGACGTGGATGGACTTTCCAAGGCTCCCATGACGTATTAGCTTTCGTTTTTCCTTTTTGTTTTGGCTTCTCATCCGGCAATGAAAGATAGTTACGGAAGGGTTTTCCAATGGTATTTTGACGAATAATGTCTTTGTTTATTTTTCTTTTCTTCTCTTACTTTTGGCTAATAGGAAGATAACATTGACTTTGCCTCTCACAAGAGAGGAAAAACAAAAGGAAAGAAAGAAATGTATTTTATTAAAAACAGTTACTTGTTTTCCACGGCAAGTAAGTCTGAACGCTTTCGTTTTCGGTTTCTCCTCTCCTATTTCGTTTCGTTTCGTTTCTTATATTTAAATTTTAAGTCCTAAAAAAAATATTTAATTTGATAACAAAAAAAGATTATTTATTATATATTTAATTTTTTCTATTTTTATTTTTTAATTTTTTAATGCAAGAATTTGTAGAAGTGGAGATAACACATAACATATATTTAAATTTAATATATATAATATAAAAAGATATAACATATATGTGAAGAATGGGATTGAATAAAGAAATATCATTTACAATCTAAATTTCTTCCGTACAAAAATCTAAATTTTGAGTTTTTATTAATTTTAAGTTTTAAATAAAAGAATAAATTTAAAATATTTTTAATTTTAAAATTAGAAAATATAGAAAAAGAATTAGCATTTTGGTAATCATGAGAATCCAGAGAAGAACCTGAGGATTACAACTGCATGCTTACTCAACAGATCTGAGGATTCGTTCAAATCAAATAATTCATAATATATATTATTTTGATGTGAAACTTTTCTTGTAGAGATAAATAAAAAGAAACGAAAATAGGAGGAATGAACCTATTTTTTTTAGTTTACAAAATTAGCTCCTGTTTCTAGAAAAGTTTCAATTTTAGAAACCAGAAAAGCAAAAAAGTGTGAAAAAAATAATTTAAAACGGAAATATTATCAAATGGACTCGTAACTTTTTAGTATAAAGTTACAACAATATTACTGGGTGAGTATTATTCGCCTACTCATTGGACAATTATGTTCGAATTCAAAAGTTATAAATTTTTATTGGTCTATTTCTTTTTTTTTAACAGCAAAACAAGACAAAATTAAAAATTCTGCAGCCACTTCAATAACTTCTTCTTCCACTTTGGTATTATGCAAGTGCCCTACCACCACGCTAATGACTTCACAGCTCTACTCGAGCATCTTCCAACCAAGCACTGACCAGCCCATGATCCACGGCTATCTTGCCGCGTCGTGTGCCATACGATTGCATTCTCTCGAACAGAACATAATTATTGTCAGATCACAGAAAAGAAAGAATGCCAAAAGAATCAGTCTCGACAGCCGACTGAACCCCATTTTAATTGTCGTGCACAGGTTGCCTCCTATCCCCACGGTGGAACAAAACCAAAATCTATAAAGAAATTAAAAATTATCTAAAACTATTAGATTGACCACGATCTGCAAGAAGTTGTAGTTTGTGGTATTTCTCAACTATACAACCCAGACCGCATAGTGTATTGGGACCATAACCATATATTTATAGGTTAATCTTAGGGTTTCCATACCCATAATCCCTTCGTATTAATGGACTGGTCACTACCCAACAAGCCACATCATTAAATAGGAAGTCATTGGCCCATAATCAAGATCACTTGTATTAAATAGTCCAAATATAATTGTTCTTTAATTTGTTACCCACATATGAATTAATTATTAAATTAATTCCAACATTCGCAAAAGACTGATTGTAGCGATGGAAAAGAGATAAAATATTTGAGACAATAAAAAGACATCATACTAAACTGCATTGAAAGTTCTACTTGCAAGAGTGGGTAGGCAAGTATTGTTTAGATTATAATTAAATTTTTACATTGATGATGTACAATGTATTATTTCATTTTTTATTTTTTTAAGAGTATTACTATTCAAGGTGAGGAATTATAGAAGTTGAACCCAAATTACTAGACGAATAGATCCCAACGTGGTTCGTAAATTTACACCGTTGGATCTATGAGAGAAACCACAATACAATAGTATTTTGAATTTATATATAATATTAGTCATCATAGAGGTATGAAGATTTATTAATATGCATCAAATAGTTATTATAGAGCAGCCACATCATGACAATCTCAATATTTGATAAGGGTTGTGGAGACCCTCCAAAATAATTATTGATTTTACTAAATATAACTTGTACAACTAATGAGACCAAGTCGAATCCAACGAAACCAATGAAATTAATTTTTCAAAGTTTAAAACATGGGGTGTTATTTAAATTTTGAAATTTAAAAAGATAAACTAAAAGGAAAAGAAAATTAATGTTACCAAACTTCCAATCCAAAGGTGTGATTTTCATCCAATTATAATCTTCATCATAGGCTTTACACAAAATTGATTTCTTGATTCAAGAACTTAGTCTACTTACTCGGAACCGTGTTAAGTTTTAATTCTCCTAATTTAATTAATTTAGACTAAGCATCAAAATTAAATTTTATTAATTAATCAACTGGGCACGATAGCGTTCCATATTAATCAAATAATAGCATTCAGGATAATGAAAATGACTAAACCAAAATCAAGTAATTTGAGATACCTGCAAGTTAATTAAATTTTGTTCATTTGTTTCCCAAGAGTCTATTATGCAGAAATATTTGAATAGGATTCAAAAAAATTAATATGAATAGGATTCATATTAAAACTATAGGTTATCCAGGAGAACTACATTTGAATATGATTCAAATATATAGTTTTAATTAGATATGTGATATTTAATTAAAAGTTAAACAATTAATGGTTAATTAATTATTTATTTAATTAATAATTAATAATTAAATTATTAATTAAATTAATTAATTGATTTAATTAATTTGTTTATTATTAATTAAAAAAATCAGATATCTTTATTGCCTTAGGATCTCCTTTAAATTCAGGAGAAGATATCCTATCTTAAAAAGAATAAGATATCGTCATACTCTAAGGATTTTCCCACTCTATAAATATAACACTAAGTTGAATTCTGAAGGTAGGCTGGACGCCAAAGGCTTAAAATCTCTCAACTCTTTTACTACAATCTGGATTCTTGACCGAAAGACATAGCAAGGAAGAGCAAGTGGTGTTATCTCATTGGGACCACGCGAAGAAGAATCTTCAAAAGTAAAATCCAATATTCTTCCTTGTTTTATATTTTTTTGTATTTTAAATTTCAAAAGAAATTCAAGAACGCGTTCACATCCCTTTAATTGATATCATAGCGTGGTTTTTCGTTCAAAATTTTCTGTTGAAATTTCGCATAGAATATGGTGGGTTTTTTCTGCATTTTGATGTTTAAGTTTTATGGGTTTTGCAATTGGATGTTTGTTGGTTTTGGCATTTAGATTGACAAAGTCGTTTGATTTGATCAATGTAAAGGGTCCGGTGTTTTTCGGCATTTAATGTTATAAATCTTGTGTAAGTTCGTGTCGTTCCTGGTCGATGAATTGGAGGTTTTTTAACCATGATTTAGCAGATTTTTCGATGTTGAATGAGAAGTCTCGAGGCTGATTTCGAAAATCTGAAGGAAAAAAAAAATCACGTTGAAAGAGTAACTCAAATATTTGCAGATTGCATAAATATATATAATGTTGTTACATTGCTTAGATTGTCCAATGTTTTCTAGTAGAAGCAGAGATCTAGTGTTTAAGTCTCTACAACATCGTTTATTTTATTTTATTTTATTTTTCCATTTTTCTTTTATTTAATTAATATAATTATCATGATTATATTAATTTAATATGCTTTTAGGATGCCAAAACCAAGTTCAATTTGCTGCTTATTTAATTATTATGAATTATGAATGTATTTTAATTAAATGTATATTGCATAATGTATGCCATATAGATTAAAAATCTCATCATAGGATACATGCATCATATGTATATTTGATATATTATATGTATGTATGATCATGCATCATTTAGTTATAATTGTTATATTAATGTATGTCATGAGTACCTGATTATTGGTTTAATTTCTTTAATTTGGTAAGAGTTATAAAATTTTGGTAAATAGAAATTAAAATCTATAATAAATAGTTGCATGCAAAGATAGGGTCTAAGTTAATTAATTTTAAACGGGTTTAAAATTAATTAGACCAGATTAATCTTCTAATATGATCTGGGGGTAGTCTTTTATTTTGTTTCAACTAGGTTTAAAATGAAATAAAAAAAAAGGACTAGATAAAATATTGCCTATAAGAGAACCCTGTCTAAGCAAGGTTCTGTCAAGATTGAGGTACTTAAGCTGACCGTAAGGGAACACCTCTACCTGGGAACCGACTTGGGGGTTGAATTAGTCAATATTTTATATGCATGCAATAATGTCATTTGTTTATTAAAACATTTGAGAAACTAAAACATTATTGTACAACTACGAATATAAATAGTTATATTGGGCCGACTAAAAATTCACTTAGCTGGAATTTATCTAAGTAATATACCATTGTGTTGAAATACTAAGTGGGAGGATGGTATATATAAAACATACCAAGTATATAAGATACATGCGGTATATAAATATATATTCTTTCCCTCACGTTCTTCGTATAAGTTTACACTGTGAGTTCCATGCTCGGCCTCGTGTCGCCTTTGGCACGACCTCTCTATGGAAGGTGTTTGCATGGTTCAATACCAAGGTGAATAGAGAAAGTATTTATAGTAAGTGGGAGAAGGAGCTCAAGTCACAAATACAAGAGTTACTGGATAAAGGCTTCATAAGTCCTAGTGTTTCACCGTGGGGTGCACCAGTTTTGTTTGTGAAGAAGTAAGATGGATCAATGCGACTATGCATTCGACTATAGAGAATTGAATAGGGTAACAACAAAGAATAAGTACCCTCTACCTCGAATTAATGATCTCTTCGATCAACTTCAGGGAGTAGCTGAATTTTCCAAGATCGACTTCCGACCAGGATATCACCAGTTGAGAATAAAAGAAGATGATATCCCCAAAACAGCTTTCAAGTCTAGGTATGAGCATTATGAATTCATTATAATGTCTTTTGGACTAAAAAATGCACCAGCAATTTTCATGGATTTAATGAACAAAGTTTTTAAGGAGTTCCTCGATACCTTCGTGATTGTTTACATTGACGATATTTTAGTTTATTCCAAAATGAACACGGAGCATGAGGA